ACCATTTCAAACATTGTATTTGGCTACGTGGTCTTACCTTGCACGTGCGGTTTAACAGCATATAGTTTAACGAGATATAAATCTGCGAAACGAAACTGGCGCCGCGCTATACGAGACACTTGTTGCTGTTGGGCTCTCAAAATCCTATGGTGCCAGCCAAAACATATTTCCCGCCCAGTCACAACATTGAACCGTCATGATGACGTAGGATTGTGATTCCGTATCAAATTCAAGCAAATCAAAATTAAAATTTAAAACTGGAGGGAAGAAAGGGGACGGTAGTATCTTTGCATATCAAATGTCTTTAGTTTTTAACTCTTTGGGGACGGCTGTCCACCTGAGTGGACAAACATACTTTGTGAGGCACATGCTATTTTATAAACAATGACTCAGTTTGCATCGAAAAGTTGAATAAATTACATATAGCAGTGATAAACAGTGTTGTATTTTGAAAATAATTTTAAGTTATTTTAGTAGTATTTTTAGTCTTTTTCTTTGCTATATAGTCTTTTTTTTAAATATTTAAAACGACTGAGCGCTTTAAAATATGGCAAAACGACTAGTAAATTTTGTGAATTAAGCAGTAGTGAAGATGAGTTTCAAATAGACATTCATTCAGACGATTATCCTTCAATAATCGATCGTTTGACATACATCAACAAATACCCCGACAACAAATAACAAGCAATATAAGACATCCAATAGATTATTTTAATTTATATTTTACAAATGAATTATTACACAAATTAACACAAAAATGAACAAATATATTGACTAATCAGTGGCATATTCTAAATGCGAGAGAAAGAAAAGGGGATTGTATTGTTTGTTCTGACAGAAAAACACTAGGAGGAAGGCGGCGAACAATATTTTATTGTAAAACATGTCAAAATCATCCAGCTATGCATTTTGGAAATTGTTTTGAACGTCACCATTCTTTATAAAATGATCAAGAATAAATAAAAATTATAAATGTATGTCCTTCAATGACCAAATTATTCATCAAACAAGTTGCATAATATGCACAATGAAAGTTTACAGCCGGTACAGTAGATTGTTTTGAAATCGGTGCCGTCTCGTAAGTGTTAATACAGATTATAGATTTGGTTTATAATTACAAACTGTTTGTAAAGGCATTGAGTAATTTTGGTTACTAATGTGTAAGATAATATTTTAAAATACCATACAGTGATATTCATTTCAAGTTTAAAAAATGGATTGGGAAGAAAAAAATCTGAATTGCAGGTTGACTAAGCTAAATCTGACAGGTTGGATTTTGGGGATTTTGGGGATTTTTGAGGAAAGCAAGTCTTACGCAAGTTGATTCCAATGGTTATCAGCCTTGTCTCGCACTTAGTTGGAAAAATATCTGATTAAGAAATACATGTTCTAAAATATTTCTTTTTTTTCATATGTTCAGGAACATCGCTTTTATATTTTCAACAAACAAGAGATTGCTACTTAATCTGTTCAGTGGATACACGCTTGAAAATATTTCTTTTATCCTTTCTATTTTCTGGAGTGACGCTTACCTTTTCAACAATCAAGGTGCAATAGGTCGAAATTACAATCAGCGTCCGTCCTTTAGCGAAGTGTTTTAATTAAACGACGAAAGCACTTCATGATAATGATTTAATGGATGTCGAATGTAACCGCTGAATTGTAGAATTTAACACGCTTTCTGGCTTCAACCCTAACCAGAGGGATACTCGGCTTTCCCGGGCTTTTGTGCGGTTGTTGGCCTCCCCCGCTTTTCCACGATCGATATTTCGGCACTTCTGTAGAGGAATCTGCGTTTCTAGTATTTATATAAGGGCTTAGTGTTTATATGTAGGGCAAGGTATTAGACATAATCGTAAAAATATTTATTTCTAGATGCTTTTTGGAAATTTCAAACTAACCAAACTAAGCACTTCCTTATTATTGATTTTATAGCTATTCTTAATTGACATGAAAGAATAAACACAATACTGAAGAAAGCTTATTAATAACCATTCTTCAGCATACTCATCTGCAATTGTAAATCATTATAAACAATTATAAATATTTTATAGGCTTTTGATAAAAAATAATTTTATTTTACAAGAAAATAATGAAATAATCATATTTTTTTATTTATTTTTATATCATTTTCAATAAATTATTCGTACATCTCGATTTTTTTTTAGAAATAATATAAAAAATATATTCATATTTATTTATTTATTAATATAATTAATGCAATTTTTCATCTTTGGCATTTTTTCTGACATATTTTAGTACAAAGATACAAAAATTTTACTTAAATTCTCTTACTTCTATAAATTAAATTTAATAAAAAAACTCGCTCTGTGTATATAAAAGAGTAGTTCTTGATGTTATTTTTTGCGACATATTCATAAAATGGTCATTTTCAATGTTATAACTGCACAGAAAAATAACAAAAAAATTATGCATATGTGAACTTTTATTTTAAAATTTGATTTAATTAAATTGCATAATTATCTCTTCCACTTTTACTCTGTAAGTACATTTCTTTCCATTCTAAATATTTTATAATGTAAATTCAAAAGTATATGACGAGTTCTTTTTATTTATGGATTTAATTAAATGACAAAGATCTTGCCATATTTATGTAAACACGTGTTTTAATTAAGCTTCTTTTAGTATTCAGGGATGTTAATAATATATCAGCGTGCGTGTATTTAAAATGTACTCTCTTGTTTAGATTACGCAAATTTAAATTTTAAATAAATAATTTTGGTTAAGTCTTTTATTAAAAAGATATTTCCCATACCGGGAATCGAACCCGAGCCTCCTGGGTGAAAGCCAGGTATCCTAGCCACTAGACCATATGGGAGTTGAATATTGTCGAGAGCAACTCTGGTTTCGTGTTTGAAGATTGATTACAATTTGCTGATATTATTTAATCAGCTGCGATTAATACCATATGATTCACCATATTAAATATGAACAATCTTGCAAGCTTGTATTTCAAGTATTATTCACTAATCAGAATTAGTAATTGTTTGTATATAAATAAGTGGAATTTTACTATTTAATTTTATTATTGCGCATTTTCTGTTCAATTAGCTAGAAAGGTCGAATTCTTCATATGTAGACCATATGGAGTCAGCAAATAGAATATTTTCGATGCCAATAATAAAATATGCTATTTATAGCGTCAATTATTGCTCGAATACCATAGCCAACGGTTATTGAGAGGTTAATAGTTTGGCACGCTTGTTAGCGATTATAATCAGCAAATAATTATAAAGTCAATATATGCTGATGAACTATAAATATAAATTTGGGACGGACTAAAATTAAATTCAACGTCTATTTAAATTATATTCATAATGGTAAATCATAAAATGCTTCTGGTTATGCTGTGGTGATACTACGCGGCATTTATGATATTTTGGCTATAAACAATAAAATGGTTCTACTACTAGCTCCAAATATCTTCAAAAACAATTTAATGTTTCACTCATATGTTTTATTACTTCGCAATATTTGTGATCATGTTGAGGGATTTGTACGCTTTATTGTAAGCAATATAAATTATTTCTATTAATTTCATTCATGCGTAGTATATATCAAAATTTGTAAACTTTTATCAGGAACATCTGTGGAAGTTGTTTCATTGTGATTTACTACGTTAAACCGAAATCGTTTGTTTGACTGGCAAGGTCATAAATATATCCGTTCTGATTGGCGTATTGGCTTGTTTTGTAAATACATTTGGGGTATTTATGTACCACAATGGTTATTTTTGGGTGCGTTTATCTTATGAAATTTAACTAAAAACAGAGGTGAAAATAGTATTTTATCTTTGTGTTCAACTAGTGTAGGAAGGAACCATTCATCAGAGTAGGAAGCTGGTTATTTTCTAAGAATCCAGAAAAAACTGGCGCACAAATATCTGTAAACTCAGGTACAATGAGAATTTTTTTATGAACCAGGCTATAATGTGGAAAATGTCTAAATATGATGGTATCTTCAATATGTTATTACGACCTTTCTCGCTGAAATTCGACCCAGTGAAATTCCACTTATTTATATACAAACAATTACTAGTTCCTGATTAGTGAATAATACTTAAAATAAAAGTTTGCAAGATTGTTCATAATTAATATGGATTGACTGTGGATGATTCATATGGTATTAATCGCAGCTGATTAAATATCAGCAAATTGTAATCAATCTTCAAACACGAAGCCAGAGTTGCTCTCTATAATATTCATCTCCCATATGGTCTAGTGGCTAGGATACCTGGTTTTCACCCAGGAGGCTCGGGTTCGATTCCCGGTATGGGAAATATCTTTTTATTCTTCGAAATTTTACTTTTAAACAAATTAATGCTAATTGTTTCTTTATTTCTAATAAGTATAGATTTACAGTTTATTGCATTCAAATTGTGCTGATAAAAATAGATCTAAATTGCTTGTACACTTTCACAATGAATCATTTATCATTTATCAGTTTTCATTTTATTTTCAAACAATTATCGATGCCTTCTACACATTGTGGGTCATTATTATCACACGATACAGATGCCCTTTTGACCCTTTTAACTTATAATGATGACTTTATAACCCCAGTCATTGTAATATTGACCTAAGCTAAATGAAAATTAATTATTTTGTTGTTAATAATTTTTATTATCGCTTTAATATAATACAATAACATTTTAATGAGATGATTTTGTTTGCGTGCGTATTATTGGATTCTGTAACTATGCTGATTTTATAAAACAACAAACATTAATAATTGTATAAAGCTCGTTATAGAATTGCATTCTCATTCGGTTGTTTGAAGATGGTTTAATTGACACGATATTTATTATTAAATATTTTGAGTTACTTGTGATGGATCTTAGAAAAACACTGATCGGTGAGGTTTTCATATTCATATTCAAACATTTTATTATTTTGAACGATATTGCGGTATTTTGTGTTTATGTGCACGATGTGCAAATACGAGCTTTCAATATTTTTTAATTAAAATTTTGTTTCTAGGCGAAGCAATCGACGATATGGAGGCTCCGGTCAATTTGCAATACCGCGATAGCCAGCACCAGAACAGCATGTTGCAGGCTTTGAACACGATGCGGAAAAACGATCGGTTTTGCGATGTTATTTTGCATGTAAGTATTTGTAATTGAGTTTAATTAATTTTTGTAGTGTTTCTGTTATCAGTCTCGATAAATATTTTTATCACTTTGAGGAAACCGCTTTTTATACATTATACTAAGTGCACTAATAATTCCTAACAAATTAATTTTTACCATAATAATTCCTAACTATCTAGAGTTTATCCTTTTGTCTATATATCTATACGATGTCTGTTTCCTTTATTAGGTGGGTACTGCGGCAATATCTGCTCACAGAGCTGTATTGGCAAGTGCTTCACCCCATCTCCTAGAACTTTTTGGAGCTGATCAGGATGCCCGTCGCGATGCAGAACCGGTGCCAAGTTACCGGCTTAACGGCGGCATGACCAAATGTGCCCTGCAAGCACTAGTGGATTATGCTTACACTGCAGTATTAGATGTACCTGATCATGAGGTGAGAGTTATAAACTTTTTAATTAATTATTCAGTTACTCTACTTACTTCAACGATGTTTCAAATGACTTTGTTATTAAAGCATGAAATTCAAATTTTTACTACCTGTATTTCTTGTCTCAGGTTAAAGAAGTGTACCTCGGAGCCTGGCAACTTCGTATGGAGCGTGTCGTGAGTGAATGCGCTCGCCATTTAGTATCCCGGCTAACTGATGAAACCTGCATTGAAACACGATCTCTACCAGGAATTGCCAAAAACCGCGATTTTGTATCGCGTGTTGATCGCTATATCTCTGATAGATTCATCGCGACGGACGGTAACGGCGGTTGTGGTGTCAGCAACACACCAGCATTTTTGGCCCTAAATTGTGTACAGATTGAAGTTCTTCACCAGACAAGACAAGAAATGTCACTAGTTGCTCCTGGTTCTTTGTGCAGACTTGTTTTGGACTGGGTTAAGAGGCAGATGACCGAAGAAACTATCACCGTAAGTTTGCAAACTATTTACTCACTGCTTTATTTATTGTAAAAAATATTTTTTGTATCTTTAGGTAAATCAATTGATGGAGAGATCTCATTTACTCTACTTGGCTATAGATAATTCGCTTCAAGATTGTGCCCAAATGCCACCGGGCCAAGATTCTGAATTGGTCGAAGATTATAAAAAAATGTCTCAAAAATGTCCAACCAACAAAGGTAATTGAGTCTTATATAATAAACCTGCTGCAAATTATATAAACAATCATTTAAAACATAAGGACAAGTAAAAATCTTATTTTTCTCTCCAGGTCGCAGGAAATGTTTAGGTCAGCCAGTGAGACCCCGCGTTCTGATTTATTCACGAGACATTGGTGACCGCAATGATGCCGACACAGAGCCGGACTGGAGTGTGATTGCCTCAGATAAAGTGGGAGGTAAATTTAACTTGATAAACCACCAACATCTGTCGTTGGGTTGTTTAAAAAACATTCAAATTCCAACGACAGACTTATCAACAAATCTTAGTTGCAGATGATAGTTTACGACTGCCCAAAGGTGAGGAGAAACGGATTTTTGTATATTGACAATTATGTATTTTGTGGGTTATCACGTTATATGTTACAAGCACAGGTTACTTTTTGTGTTAGACTATTCAGCAGATCCCAGAAATATTTTGTTTCTATCAATATACCCTCATATTAAATACAAACATATAAAATCTAATAATTATTTTTCTTAGTGGAAAGGAGATTTGTGAGATCTGTTGCTTTGTCTCTTGACACTGTATAGGTATGATACTAATGACTATTAGCCATGGACAAAACAAAGTGATATCAATTTAGTTGTTATGCAATATTAAATATAAATATTCATTATTTTTACTTGAACTATATTGTATCCTGTGTTTCCAGAACACACTTTTATGGCTCTCGTTACCTTGGACGGAATTTTGGCTCGTCTTTCTATACTCTTGCGTTTGAACGCACCAGCCACGCCTTCTCCTGTGGCAACTACACCAGTCACGTGTAGATCGCCAGGACTGGATTCATCTTGTCCAGATTTATATTGCACTTTGGCAAGCATGTCAGGAGGGAAATGCGCTTTTGGAGTCGCTCGATTACAAGGAGGTTTTGTTGTCTGCGGTAAGTTATAGTAGATAGCTTTTATATAAAAAATAAGGCTGTTTATGCAAATTTTCGAATATAAATTATAGGTGGTTATGATCGTGTTGAATGTCTGAAAACAGTTGAGTACTATGATCCAGAAAATAATTCTTGGAAATCGCTTCCTAACATGCGGGAAGCTCGCGGTCGTGTCCAAATTGCTGTACTTGATGATAAGATATATGCTATAGGTAAAAATTAAATTCAAGGATCTTAAAATATCATTTTTAGTTCAGCACATATATTAAATTTTTATTGGAATTCAATTAGGTGGTAGTAATGGAACCACTGAACTTGATACGATGGAAGTGTTAGAAAAGGGTGCTGCAAAATGGTCTAAAGCTCCTAATCTTCCTCTTGCCAGGAGTAATTCAGGTAAAAAAAAATATTTTTATATATACCTAATATAAATATTACATATGCAATTTAAATTTTAAATGCTTGATTTTTTATAAATATTTTAATCGTTTTATTAGGTGTTTGCGAAATGAATGGATCTATTTATTGTATTGGTGGATGGAATGGACAAGTCGGCATAAGGCAATGTGATGTTTTTGATCCAGCTAAGAATATGTGGAAGTCTCTGCAACCACTTACCACAGGTAAAAAATAAATTTAATAAATTTGAATATGCAACTGATAAATTTATATATAAATTATCAATTCATATTATATTTATTACCAGGTCGTTATCAGGCCGGAGTTGCAGCTTATAAGGGCAATGTTTACGCTATCGGTGGTTGTGATGCATGGAATTGTTTGTCATCAGTAGAATGTTACGATATTGAGGATAATGTTTGGTCCCCTGTTACACCATTGTTAACACCTAGGAGAGGATGTGGTGTTGCAGTATTCAATGGAAAATTATATACTGTTGGTGGATCTGATGGTACACATACACTATCTTCAACTGAGGTTTTCGATGATGAATCTAAGACTTGGGTAAGTTTTTAAGAAATAATATTTATATTTGCTCTGAAAGTTTTTATGCTCTCATAAACTTACTTTTTTGATGATTTATTTAATTAAAAGCGATGAGATTGTTTCAATGTCTGTTTAGACAGAAGTACGTAAAATATCACAATTATTCTGTTTCGACGCTCCTTTATTTCTTATTTTTGAGCAATGTATTATTCTCATGTTGAAAGGTTTTGGAGTTAACATAATTTGATTAAATATAATTTTGAAGATTCATTGCGTATTTCTATATTTCGCAAATTGGTGTTATATGCACGAAATTTTTAAAAAGGATACTACACACAACTAACAATGGATTTACTTTATTTTATTGTTGGATTATTCAATTTTATTGTGGAAAGGAGCATACAAATGAAGTAGTCAGGATTACTATTTTAGAAGCTTATCATAAGTCTTTCGATATGTGGATCCATCACCTAAAATATTTTTTAGGTTGCTGGTCCAAATCTAACTGTTCCCAGAGCTAATGTTGGCGTGATAGTGGTTGGTGACCGATTATACGCAATCGGAGGCTTTTCAGGAAAAATATTTTTGAATACGATAGAATACCTAGACTCGAACACAAACGAGTGGACAACTTTCATTCCAAAAGACTTAACCAGATTTGATTTCTCCGGAATCACCGACGATGACGCTTTAAATCTGGAACTGCATCACATGGTGCTTTCAAATGGTATACTTAATAATGGATCAATAAATGGAGGTACCAATTTAAATGAACTTTTGACAAATGGAAAGTTACCAAATGGAAAAATTACTGCAGATGAGGCTGGAGACTGCAATGGGACCACAGGACCCAATATCATTAGCGTGTAGCTCATTTAATTCTTGCATTACACATATCAGGAAATATGTTAATGCTTGGTTATCGTGTAAATTTCTACTTTATATAAATATTTCTCTTAATTTTAGTACTTTTTTATATGAGAATATCCACTTATGAAATTATATATACTTGATATAAGTGAGAGGCAATTTGCTATGTGTATCGATATACTTTTTGATTACTGACTTTTATACTATCATTGTGAGGAGCTTAATCAATTAAATATCATTTGAATACAAATGATTTTCTTGTACATTTGAAAACATATATAATTCAGAATCTTCATGGAATCATTAATACTTAAGGTAGAGTATATTCAAAGTCTATTACATGTAAAACTGAGTTTTTTATTTTCTCATACGTAATTTAATCATAATATGATATACGAAGTATTAATATTGTAGTTAATCAATCATTTACTGCATTTCTAGGTGTATAGATTTTTTTTGTAAATATTCATTAAATCAATTGGTGTCTTACAATACTCATTTCTAAATAGAAATTTCTATATTTTTTACACTTATTGAATGTCCATATAAAAGAACTAGATCTAATTCCAACAAAATAATTTCTAAATAAAGTGAAACTGTTAGAATTCATTGTCTAACAAAAATGTGAATCGCTCGAGTACAAAATTTATTCCCTGTACCAGAATTGCGTTTATGGAGTTGAATGTCAGTATGATGTAAAAATGCAGTTATTGCATGTTGTGTGAAAGCTTCCTGATCGTATCGTATCTTGTTGCTGCTGAAAAATGACATTTGTAATATAGTTTTAGGATAAGGAAAATTGTACCAATACTATGTAAAGAGATGTTAATCTATGTATCATACTGTGAAATAAATTTATCATTATCTCAACTAGAATAGCTTTATAAATTGCTATTGTAAGAAGGAAGGAAAATTTTACAAACGTTCGGAAACATTTCAGTTAAATCAATGATATTGGATTCGATAAATTTATTTGTGATATAAAGTATTAAATTCATCCAGTTTGAGGACAATCAAAACAAACCACCAGAAACGTTGCTGTTTGGAATTGCAGAATAATAGAGATATTTTGGTAGTAATGGATTATTTCATTCAGCAGGTACTTTACAAACGTCCAATTCATCTAAGTCAAGATCTCTTGGGAGATACGGTCGATCACAAGGTTGCCGACCTCTGTTTCGAAACAGTATTTTCAATTTTTGTCGTGGATTTCTATTTGTGTTTCGTAGTGCGAAATTCGCTACTCAATTGTTTTCTTCTTTTCGTTTTATTTACTGGGCGGCGCCACTATTATTTTATTGGCATCCCTTAAATAAAATACTTGGTTAATTCAATGAGGAGGATGCTTTAAATTTACAAATGTAATTCAAATATGGAAAAATGTATTCATGCTTTTTTTTTGGAAAAGTTAAAATTTTCATAGATTGGAAATAATCGATATCATGATTTAGGCATGAAATATATTACTGTATTTAGATCAGAACCAGGACCTTTACAAGGATGTCAAATGATGGATGAGCAAGTTATCTACTGATGAAGTAAGCATTTCATAATTATTTGCAGAGGATAATTTTTTTTTTAAATATATATTAAACTTGATATTAATCGACGGGATAAAAATAATTTTATTAATAATAAATCAGGATTAAAAAGTTCCAAAACCAGAATTACAAACTTTAAGATTTTATTACGAACGTTGTCTTTGGATTGAATTTGTTTGATATTATTATAGATATCAATATTAATAAAAGCTGTAATGCATTATAATCTTGATACATATCCAGGATCCAATTCTCGGACACAATAGAAATGTTACGGGTCTATAATAGTATGAGTACGAAGTACGAACTGTAAAAATACTTTGTATTTGTTGTGCGATCAGGCGATTTACAAAAAATTAATTTTGGTCAGACTTCACTTATGATAAAATTGTTATTTGTGCCTTTTGGAGCTTATTTATATGGAACATCTTAACACTATATTAATTTATTATCATATAATTCTAATTTTATAATTAGAATTAGTTAATGAATGTGAAAAGAAATAAAGGAATAATGACTCTCCAAATTAGAACCAAAATTTATAAAAAAAGTATTATCAAACGCGAAACTAATTTTTCAATGAGAACGAGCTTATTAGTAACTTTATTGCTAATTTGTCACAAAACTTGGCAACAATTAAAATTAATCTTATATATTAAATATATGATACTTTATTCTATATAATAATAATTATAATATTAAATATTAAAATTATTATAAATTAAATGTTATATAAAATGTTAATATATGTAATTATACGCTATATAGTATCCAAAAGTATCGTTGATTTAATATATAAGTTACAGTTTAATATTTTAACCCTGTCGACTCGGATGCCGCCGCTCCGGCGGTAAATTTCACATAAATCTCAGAAGTTGCAAGTGGAAAGTGTTAATAATAACTAATGAGTAATTTTATTCAATATTGATATATAACAAAATTTGTTTATAACAGTATTGAAATATATCAACAAGGACACATCTATTACTAATTCTAGAATATACCGAATATACCTTCCATTTCTAAAAAAATCAACCATATGTGAACATACTAAGATTAAAAAATGTCCTGATTTCTTTCTTCAAAAAAAAATATATAAAAATGTCTTGATTCCTTTCAAAAATCGTGCACATAATTTGGTTTAAAATTCAAATTTTCTTTATCAAATACTGCAAGTGTATTTAAAAATTTAAAATAAATATAATATCAAAATTCTACAACCTGGAGTGCCTTTAAAAAAATGGGTAAGATAGTTATTAATCGATAAGAATATCTTGTGGTTACATGTACAAATACATCGTATTATCAAGATTTCTTACAAAACTTTTGTACAGTATTTGATGTAGAAGTCAAATTTCCTTTACCAAATACCAAAAGTGTATTTATTCACCATCAAGTGGATCCATTCGAGTTTACATAGTCCGAAATTGAATATAGTATCGCGCATACACTCAACACAAGCGCCTAGAAGTCTGGCGTTGGTATATATCCACCCCAGTTATATGCCACGATCATTCGGGTTTTGAGGTCGGTCTGTGAGATTCGTGAAAATTTCACGATAAAATGATAATATAATTACGCAAAATCTCGAAAATTTTCAAAAAAATATTTTTCAATCTCCGACATGTTCGCTAATGATCCATGAAATTTTACAAGCCTGAATAGGCTCTGTGTTTCGAATCGTGTGTAATTTTTTTTAGTTTGTTGTGATATACAGAAATACTTATAAATTTAACAAGAATATTACAAGTATTAAAATGAAACAGAAATTTTTATTGTATTTGCTACTGACGATGCTGATCTGTCAGGGTAAGCTATTATGATTTTTTATGCTTGAAATTATGATGGTATTTTAAACACGTGAGATGAGGTTATCTCTTCAACATGATTATATATATATATATATATATATATATATATATATATATATATATGCGGAAATATCTATTTTAAAAATAGATTCTTATTTTAATAGTTCATTCTTTCAAACTATTTTTGTACTCCCAATAATATTGTCAACAACATTCTACTTTCATTTTTATAACTATACTAATTTAATGAATTTAAATTTTTTGCTTTATTTTTTTGCTCTATTTTAAAAGTTTACATATATAAAAATAATGTCGTTAGATTGATGAGTCTTGTTTGAGTATTGGGTCCAAAACTGTCATTATTTTAGAATAACGTTCACAATAAATTATATTTTTTAAAAAATAGTTTGTTTTTAGGACTATTATTTGGTATACGTATTTACAAACTTTTGTTTTCATACATTCATAAATAATTTAGTTCATAAGTTCTTTAATTAGTGACTTAATGATACATAACCAGGTTTATATTATTAACTTATTTTATATCCAAGTTTTGTAACGTTTCTTTTTTTGCATAAAATTTACTCAGTGGCGGATTCAGCTTTGGCTCCAGGGGGGGGTCACATAATTGAATTATAGTTCTTAATGAGTATGTTAAATTTTAGGAGTCTTTGACTCCGCCGTTCGTCTGTAATAAGTTACATATTGAAGTTATAAAATGTGTTTGGCAACAAAATAAATAAATAAAATCATTATGAAGTAATTTAATTGCTGAATTAGTTTTCTATCTAAGTCTTAGGACAAGCTCAGGGGGGAGTCATGACCACCGTGACCAATCCCCTGGATCCGCCACTGAATTTACTGCTATTGTTATGGCAAATATTTGTCCTTCAACTTTAAAAATCCTGCAATTGAATCCAACCTTTTGATAATAACAAACTTGTTTCCATCACTTGCACAATAGCGACGGCAGTGTTTGGCTATTATACAATTTCATTTTTATTTTTCTAAATGAACAATACGAAATTTAAATTTGGTTTGATGTCTTCTCCAGGAAGAACAATCCGTATTATGCATTTTTATGGAGATACTTATGTAATAATGTTGTGACGGCTGATCCAAGAAGTCCAATGCTTATGAAGATCAAATGTATTTGTTCAGGATCGAACTTTTGTATTTATTAATTTTGCGGATTTAAATGTTGGCTGCATAGCGGGATTGAAGTAGAAATGTTGTTGTCAGTGAAGTAGAAGAATGCAAAATATGGTTCAGTAGAAAATTACAATGAAGGACAATTATTATCAAAGATTTGAAATTTAGTTGTTGATTTCAGGTCGAACTTGCTTGGAAAGTACTAATTCTCGAGTATATTTGCAATCATTATTTGTTAACAAAATTCACTTTTGGTTGAGACACTTGATCTTGGTTGTTCGTCTATGGAGCCCTATGTTTTTAATGATGTTCTGAATTGCAAGGAATGTGTACGCTGATCCTTTTCCCAATTTTCCAATGTTGTTTGCGAACCTATAATCGAGTTTATTTTTATCCATTACCGTAGTCAGCGATATGATGCACTTACCTGAAAAATCTTTTCAATACAATGTCTTTCTTTTCCATTTTCCCATATCCACATTGTTCGCCGCGAGCATTACTTGGCGCTTTTCACATTTTCTTTATTCCGACTCGAAGTGGGATATTCGAGCGTGTTATATAAGCAAGTTGCATGTTTTGAAAGCACAGTTGATTTAAATATATTTGAATAACATCAGAGCATACACTCGTTTACCAACGTTTATTCATTTTTCACATGGCGTTTTCTTTTCGCCTTTTCGCCTTTTCTTTGGTCGCATGGGCGCCGAGTTTTCGCGGCCTGACCCAGATTTTCTCGGGGGAAAATTTCTCTCTCTTGGAGAAATTTCCGGTTGTTTATCACAAAACGGAAGTCGTTATGAATACATTTTCGTGGCGACGCCAATGCCGACTACGACATTGTAAACTTGCGGCAGTTGAATTACTCCGAGAAAGGTTTATGCAAATGGGTTTCTTTTGTCAAAGCTACAAGACAATGAGACCTGTGACAATTCTCATTTAATTTTTAATTGCGGAATTTAATTCAATGTTTCTGCGACGAGTTTATAAACTCCTCAAAATTTATATGAATGTTCTACATTTTTCATTAAGATAAATCTGCTTAATGACCTTTTTGCGTTATGAGATTTCTGGGTTGAAGTCGTGGGCAGCTCTTTGACATAAAGGGTAATTAAACTGAACAGGATCCACGAATTCATTTAAATAACTTTTTATTTGATAAATAATCGTCTTAAAGAATAGAAACTATTGTTCCAGTATTTTTCTACGCCCAAGAAAATATTTGCTCAGAGGTCTTGAATAACGACGCTTTTGGCTAAAAGGAAAGCCAGAAAAGATCAGATTATCCATTAAACCGTCTTATCTGCTATAGT